GCCCCCAGTTTGGGAACCCATGCAGTAAACCCTCAGCTGAAGGGAAATTGCCATCCTCATCTGCCTTCAATCAGAACAAGTGGAGCACACCCTGTGGTTTTACAAAGAACAATTTGCAGGATTTAGTTCTGGCATAAATTCCAACTTCTCCCTGTCTGGGTTTGGAGACCCAGACCTGGGACAAGACAATTTGCACCCCTATGATATCTTGCCTAATAGGCTTGGCAGAACTAGTTTGGAAGGGAAATTGCCATCCTCATCTGCCTTCAATCAGAACAAGTGGAGCACACCCTGTGGTTTTACAAAGAACAATTTGCAGGATTTAGTTCTGGCATAAATTCCAACTTCTCCCTGTCTGGGTTTGGAGACCCAGACCTGGGACAAGACAATTTGCACCCCTATGATATCTTGCCTAATAGGCTTGGCAGAACTAGTTTGGGTAGGTTTTTTTTTGGTTGATTTTTGGCTTTGCATTCTTGACCACAGTGTGTTACTTTTACAGTTGTGGGGGAGGTTAGGTTGGAGCTTCAAGGGGCATCCTGTGTGGCCAGGAGCCACAGCTTCAAGGAGGATGCTAGTGAGTCTTGTCATGAAGGAAGCTACCACAGCAGGGCGGCTTCCTCTTACAGCTCTTGCTGGAACATTTTGCTCTCCCCCACCCCATCAGCATGCCGGCCTTCTCCACATTTTGTACTTGCAGGGAGCAGTGTGGTGTGGGCCTGGTAACCAGGCAGGAAGCCCTCTGCAGCTTCACTGCCATAGTCCCTCTTGCTCACTCCTGTGATGGTGCTCCATGGCCAGTGACAACCAGTCTCTGCAGGCAGTGTGTGTGCATGAGGGCATAGGCAGTGGTCACCAACCAGTAGGTTGGGATCTGCTGGTAGATCTTGGAGCCTCTGACAGGTGATCCTGATTGGTTTGGCCCCATGACTATCAAGTGCTAGCACTTCAGCTGCCCGTCCCCACACTGCTGTTCATCTCTGGCCCTTTGCCTTGGAGCTGCCCCTCTCCCTGGGAGCCTCCTGCTTTCTGTGCAGGGCAGGAGAGGGAAGCAGAGAGGGGGCACAACAGGACTTGGGATGGAGTTGGCTGGCTGCTTTAGGGAGTGCTCCAGGGCCAGGATAGGGGTGAGCCTACCTTAGCCCCACTGCACCACCACCCAGGAGCCACCCGAGGTAAGCAGGGCCCAGCTGGAGCCCACATGCCAAATTCCTACCCCAGTCCATGAACCCCCTCCTACACCCTAGGCCCCTGCCGTAGCCCCAAGCATCTCTGCATCCAAACGCGCTCTCAGAGCCTGCACCTACAACTCCCTTTGGCATCTCAACAGCCTGTCCCAAGAGCAGCTCAGAGCCCCTCTCATACCCCAGATTCCTTAATCCAAGACCAGAACCTGCGCCCCAACCCTCTGCTCCAGCCTAATGAAAGTGAGTGAGGATGGGCAAGAGAGGGGGGATGGAGTGAGCAGGGGTGGGGCCTCAGAGAAGGGGCAGGAAGGAGTCAGGGCAAGGTTATTTATATTTGAGGTAGATCTTGGATTGCACTTCAAGTCAAAAGGTGATCTCATGCTTTAAAAAGGTTGGAGACCCCTGGCATAGAGGCTGTATTCACACCAGCTGTTACCAGTGGATATTTTGCCATTATTGCGAGAGGTGCGTGCGTTCTGAAATCATATTTACTGACATCAGTCTCCTTTTACATTTACTGTTACCAAGCCTAAACAAACTCTGGCCTTAATGATTTATGAAAACGAGTTCTCCATCTCATTGCTTCTTTGAAGAGAAACATTTGCTTCCTTACTACCCTTTTGCTGCAAGTTTAGAAATATCCACTCTAAAGAATAAACCCCCTGCACTGCCTGAAAATTTCAGCCATAGTAAGTTAAACCAGTTCCAAGGCAAACCCACTTACGAATGCTATTGCCCTGAGGAATCTATTAAAAACTAACTTGCAATTTTACAATCCCTTATTGGTGGGTACTTGACCAGCTTTGTTTTCTCTTTACCCCCCCAGGGGTTTACATTCTAATTGGAGCTGGCGCACTCATGATGTTAGTTGGTTTCTTGGGATGTTGTGGTGCAGTGCAAGAGTCGCAGTGCATGCTCGGCCTGGTAAGTGTTTTTGTTTACTGTAATATTTGATCTTACACATCCCAGCCTAACCCAAATGGGACCTTCAAGCATTTTAATAAGGAGAGGGTGAGAATGTCAGGCATGCAATAAGAACAATGGGCAGCAGATTCTAGCTCAGTTTCACTCTGGCTATCACTTTTTTTGGAGCTTTACTTCACTTTTTTTTAATATAAATGTGTGTACCATAATAATGTAAATCACCAGCATTTTAAGTCAACTTTCACTCTCTTCCCCATCAATCATACTGTGCTTCGTCCTAGCAGAATAAAATATTGACATGTGCCACAACGTTCAAAGGGTAAAAGACTGGATGAGGGATGTGTGAATTCAGACCAGATACACCATGTTAACAACTGCACTATTATGCAGTGCATGTGATGCAGACAACAGGCGATTATGTCAATTGTGTACATGGGATTAGAATGTTGGCTTTTCATCTTCAAAAGCACAGGCCTCAACCCTAAGAACCAGTAGAAGGACTGTTAGGGTATGTCTACACAGCACCCTAAACGCAAAATTAGATACTCAATTTGCATAGCACAAATTTTGTATCTTATTTTAATTAAATTTCGAAATTGGCTATTTCGAGCTATCCCTTATCCCTCGTGGAACAAGGTTTACTGGGATGCTGAAATACCACACCCATTATTTCGAAAAATATTTTGAAATAATGGGTGGTTTGTGAAGATGCAGGGTAGCTATTTCGGGATACCTCTGGTATCCTGAAATAACTGTGCAGTGTAGACGTACCCTTAGAGTTACCAGTTGGGGGTATGTCTCACTCTTTGAGAGTGAGTTATGGGCAAACATTACTCTTCTATATACAAAAGCAGTACATCCTCCAAGCATCTCTGCCTCATAATTAAATATCTGGGCATAAAGTCTTCTGTCCATCATCACAAGATGAATGGCAGTCTGTATTGATATGCAGTTGCATCTGGAGGAAAGAACAGCTCATTGTTTGTTGTGTCAAGGAAGAAATTCATTTTCAGAAGAGTCAAGTGATACATGTTAGCTCTTGGACATTGTAATTCCTCCCTCTGCTCCTGTCTTTAATGCTTTTAAATGCTAGCAGCAATTTGATTCTCCCTAGTAGTTGAACACCCAGACTTCCTTTTATGTGAAATGCAGTATATAGCTCCTGACTTCTTAAGGTCCTGTAATGTCCCAAAGTGCAACTTTTATTGCCTAAAATTATCAGAGATGATGGGTCTGAGAGTGGTAATGACTAAGGATGTTAACAGGCAGGTCATTGGCTAATCGTGTAGTCGATACAATTTGTATTGACTACACGATTAGTCGATAAGGGAAGGTGCCCTGTCCTGGCTTGCGCTGTGTCTAGGGCTACACCCACTGCGGCTCTACACTTTAAATGTAGGAGGAGCCGGACTGCCCGTGATGGGGAGGGGGCTACCCTCACTGCAGCTCTGTTGGCATAGCTCCATCTACTTGAGGATGATGTCAGAATAGCTGTGTGCATCAGGGTGTCCATGTCTCTCTCTCTCTCTCTCCCCCCCTCTCCCCCCCCCACACACACACTATTGGAGAATATAGCTTTAGACTGTGTGTATAGTACAGTGGTACACCCACTTGGGGCTCGACCTCTGAGCCATTAATTATAGTTTCTACAGCTATGGAAGTGCTTCTCATATTGCTGTAGTTAATCCACCTCCCTGAGTGGCAGTAGCTAAATCAATGGGAGAATTCTTCCATCAGCCTGGTGCTGTTTATCTCTAGGGCTATATTGGCTTAACTAAAAGTCTTTCAGGAGTGTGGATTTTTCACACTTCTGCCTGACCTCAGTGCCTTGTAGGTGCTCCACAAGACAATAGAATTAAAGCAATGACAGTACACCTTTAGGAGCTTCAGGGGGTAGCTGAGTTAGTCTGTTACAGAAAAAAACAACAAATGGTCTGGTAGCACTCTTAGATTAACAAAACATGTAGATTGTATCATGAGTCTTTGTGGGTACAACCCACTTTTTCAGATGGCGAGTCATCTGAAGAAGTGGCCTGTGCCCACGAAAGCTCATGATACCATCTACATGTTAGTTAGTCTCTAAAGTGCTACCAGACCAGTACCCCTCTAGTTCATCTTCCGTAGTTAGAGGGGGTATGTCTACACTACAGCGCTAATTCGAACTAAGCTAATTCAAACTAGTGCATCTAGACCTAAAAACTAGTTCAAATTAGCGTTTTGCTAATTCGAACTAGCATGTCCACATTGAGTGCACCCTGAACCGGGGTTAAGGCTGGCCGGAAGCAGTGCCGGGTGGGCATCAGATTAGGACTTAGAGCGTGGAGCTGCTGTCTCATGCTAGCCAAGGGCTGTGCTTAAAGGGACCCAACCCCCACCCCGGACAGACAGTTCTCAGGGGTTTCCCGCTCGCTTATCTAACTCGATGAGGGACAGCAAAGCAGTCCTGGCTTGGAGTGCCCTGAATGCCCACACTCGGCACATCACAGCACTCGGCCATCAGCCTGGCTGCACTTGCCATAGGCTGCCATCCGGAGAGGTGGGTCAATCGGGGGCTGCAGGAGAGCTTCCACCCCAAGGAGCCCGCTGAGCCACCCCAGTCCTCCCCATCGGGGGCTCATGCCCTATTCCTCCTTCCCCTTACCCCTCCCTAACTCCCTTCCTGATGTACAAAATAAAGGACACGTGTGTTCAAAAATAGAAACTCTCTTTATTGAACAAAACGGGGAGACTGGGAAAAGGAGGTGGGAGAGGGGAAGAGAGAGGGAGGGAGAGGGGACGGCAACTAAAATGATCAGGGGTTTGGAAGAGGTCCCACATGAAGAGAGGCTAAAGAGACTGGGACTTCTCAGCTTAGAAAAGAGGAGACCGAGGGGGTATATGATAGAGGTCTATAAAAGCATGATTGGTGCGGAGAGGGTGCATAAAGAAAAGTTCTTCATTAGTTCCTATAATAGAAGGACTAGAGAACACCAAATGAAATGAATGGGTAGCAGGCTTCAAACTAATAACAGAAAGTTGTTCTTCACAAAGCAAAGAGTCAACCTGTGGAACTCCTTGCTGCAGGAGGCTGTGAAGGCTAGAACTATAACCATCCCCTCCGAGGTAGCTGGTGTTGGCCACTGTTGGCAGACAGGCTACTGGGCTAGATGGACCTTTGGTCTGACCCAGTACGGCCGTTCTTATGTTCTAAGCTCAGGGCTCAGGGTCGGGGGTCTCACTGGACCACCTTGATTTTCATGTAAACCTGATCCTGGGTTTGCATGTGGCCTTTGGTGGCCACGCTGGCAGCTATCCTGCCCTAGACGGCCACTTTCCTGGGCCTAGTGCAGAGGTCCTGGACTTTGGAGGCCTCCCCCCAAACCTGGATGAGGTCCACGATCTCCGCACTAGACCAGGCCGGCGCCCACCTCTTGCGGCCCCAGGCAAGCTCCTGGGAGCCACCAGCCTGGTTCCGGGAAGAGGGGGAGGCCTGGGTGGCAGCGGGTGGCTGGCTCGAGCTGTGCCAGGTGCAGGGTCGAGCTGTGCCAGGTGCAGGGTTGAGCTGTGCCAGGTGCTGGCAGGCTTGCATCTGGCACGGGCACCGTAGCCCGCCCGTGCCCCTTTAAGGGGCCCGGGGCCGGGAGGGGGGCAATAGAGTTTCCCTGGTGTTGGCCAGCATGGCCACCAGGGAAAGCTGGGGAGGGCTAGCCTCCCACTAGTTCGAATTAAGGGGCTACACACCCCTTAATTCGAACTAGAAAGTTCGAACTAGGCTTAGTCCCACCAGGGCAAGCTGGGGAGGGCTAGCCTCCCACTAGTTCGAATTAAGTGGCTACACAGCCCTTAATTCGAACTACTTAATTCGAACTAGGCGCTAGTCCTCGTAGAATGAGGTTTACCTAGTTCGAATTAAGCGCTCCGCTAGTTCGAATTATGTTTGAACTAGCGGTTTGCTAGTGTAGCGCCTATCAAAGTTAATTCGAACTAACGTCTGTTAGTTCGAATTAACTGTGTAGTGTAGACATACCCGGAATGACCCAAACTGGCTTCTCTCATTCAGCATACAAATGTGTTGCCTATAAAATCTTTCTCTGCCATCATCCTTACTACTTTTCCATTCATACTGCGGAGCCAAATTAAAGGGAAAACGTGTCTCCAGCACCACTTAAATCCACCACTGAAGTAAAGGTCTTGGAAGTGGCTTTAAAGTAATACCACACCCCAAAATAAAAACCATTAGGAACAAAGTATAGTTTTATTTCCTCCTTTCTTCCATGACATTTACTTTATTCCAGAAAATCTTCACAATTAATGCATTAAAATATCACATGATTTGATATGATAGTAATTGTATTTTAGAGAGGATATTTAGGATTTTGAATCAACTAATTTGAAAAAAAAAAACCCTGCTAATTGAAAAATAGTTACAATAAACAACTTTGATTTAATTATTTCAAATCTCTCTTCTCTTCCAGTTCTTTGTCTTCCTTCTTGTAATTTTTGCCATTGAAGTAGCTGTTGCCATCTGGGGATTTGCAAATAAAGACACGGTAGGTTTTGAATATTACAAGCTTTTGGCACTGAACTTCCACGCATTGGGCCAAATTAGCAAGGTTCTGTTTTACTAGAATGAATCCTTGAACAGCAATTGGCTGGTCCCAATCCTGCGAACACTTTAAGGTACAGGCAGTCCCCGGGTTACATGGATCCGACTTACATCAGATCCCTACTTACAAACGGGGTGAGGCAACCCCGCACTAGCTGCTTCCCCCCCAGCAGACCAGGGAGACGCGAAGCTAGCGCCCC